TTTACGTCAGATTTACATATATATATAGCTTTACCTCGATACCCCTCTACCTCTTCAGCCAATATGTAAAACTCAAGCTCTGGTGACATATAATTTATATATTACATCTATTGCAGTCCTAGAAGTCAACGATGATAGCTGAGTAGGCTGCGTGCGCCGAATGGTGTTTGTTTGCAGCTGTAGACCTGGATCGAGTCCCGACTGGGAAATTTTTTTTTTTTTTTTCATGTTACAGTGTATAATTTTATTGAAAGATTGATTGGAAAAGTATCGTCAGGGACATTCTTCTCTACAATTTTAACGATTTCTGTGAATAAATTTTTTTTCTTCGTAATACATTATAAATACTTTTTCAACAATTTCGCAAACTGTTATAACATTCAGTGATGGCAAAATCAGACGACCTCTTTTTTTTATTTTTGTCAAATGTTAATGACTAGGTTCCAAAGTGAGTCTCAAAGGACATTGGTAACATTTTGTTTTATTTTAATATGGATCGAATAACGAATCCAGCAGAGTGACCCACGACATTGTCTATGTATTGTTTTCTTGCTTCTTTACCATGAAACCTCCTTTAGCTCTAACTGAACTAAAAATATTCTCCAGATGGTCATGCGACAGTTTCTACTGTGGTAAAAATCTATCTTTTTTGTTAAAATCCTGATAAAAAATACTAACGATGTTGAACAATGATGCTACGATTCCACTATTCTATGGTAAAGAAACAAAAAAAAAATTCATAGTCAATGTCGTGGGTCACTCTGCTGGATTCGTTATTCAATCAATATTGAAATAAAACAAAATGTCACCAATGTTCTTTGACACTCACTTTAGAACCTAGTTATTCACTTTTGACAGAAATAAAAAAAAGAGGTCATCTGATTTTACCATCACTGAATGTTATAACAGTTTGCGAAATTGTTGAAAAAGTATTTAGAATGTATTACAAAAGAAAAAAAATATATTCACAGAAATCGTTAAAATTGTAGAGAAGAACGTCCCTGACGATATTTTTCCAATCAATCATTGAATGAAATTGTACACTGTAACAAAAAAAAAATTTAAAAAATTTCCCAGTCGGGACTCGATCCAGGTCTACAGCTGCAAAAAAAAATACCATTCGGCGCATGCAGCCTACTCAGCTATCATCATTGACTTCTAGGACTGCAATGGATGTAATATGTAAATTATATGTCACCAGAGCTTGAGTTATACATATATTGGCTGAAAAGGTAGAGGGGTATCGAGGTATAGCTATGTATACATATGCTCTCTTCTCCTACCAGCTCCACTCTTGAAGACAACTATAACTGTATACACGGAAGGGGGCTAGCCAATCATCGGATTGTAAGAGACAGAAAGCATATACTCCTTTACGGGCCCTCTCTCTCTCTTTGCTAGTCTCACTGCCGAAGCATTGTATGCGCTCTCCAGGTATATATGCTCTAAGGGCTAAACGAAACGCAACAAACGATTAAAATAAGTTTCATTTAGGTTGCAATATCTCAAATTAACATTAGCTATACTGAAAAAATGATTATCTAGAGATACCGCAGTTTTATACAATACATTTACGCTCATACGTAACGAAACTAGTAGCGCCATATAGCTAGTGCATTGTAGACACCTTGCAGTCAAGTAATGAAAAGTAGAACCACCGTTGTCTTGAATCTTGACCACTGGTGGCTGACAAATGGCTCTTTTTAAATGTAGCTATACTCGTATAGCAGTCGTGCAGTAAGCTGTTTTCTGTACCATCCATAATACTGTGGGGTATGTATGTATATATATATAATCGTTGGTTCTAGTGTTATAAATATATGTTGACAAGAAAAGACTTATATGAACAGTTACATGTATGGTGGGTAATTATGACGACAGAAAAGGAGTTACGTTAAGGTCTGCATAATTCCACCATTTTAATTTTCTCCGTAGGAGAAATTAAACTCTTATTTTTTTCTTGTAAAGGTACGATAATAACCATTAAGTTACACAATAACAATGGTAATCTTTGCCTGAATAGAAGTGCGATATTGATGTTTACTTTAGAAAAAGAACAGTGTTAGTCACATCCTTAGTACGTGATATCTAATTTTTTTTTTTTCAAGGACCTGTAACAATAAAAATTTTATATCTATGTTTGCTGGAGGTGAAGTGAGATATTGATCTTTGCCATGGGTGACGTTGGATATTTACCTTTAAGTAAAGGGATATTACAGTAATAATATTACAGTTGACAAATTTCAACAGAAAAGTAAAGTATTAAGTCATAAGGACTTGTGAAATAAATAGGGTATTTAGAACATTTTTTGTCATTGCTCTAACGTGATTCCTTCTCTACTGTTTTTAGCACACGATACCTTTAAAGGACAGTGTGCAAAGTTTAATTGTGTACAGTTAGGTTTTTAAATATTTTGATGGCTGATGATTTATTTTATGTTAGGGACACATTCTGCATGCAAACAAACATAGTATTTAAAAATATTTTGCAAGATCTAGAAAAAGTTATAATTAAGAAGTAATAATGGCTTGTAAAAAAATATGCGCAAGGGCCATTGATAAATAAAAAGTTTTTTCTAATTTATTTTATTTTTAATGAAATCTTAAACCTACAGGTTTTAAGAAATAGTAACAAAGTTAAGTAATTAAACTNTTTTTAATTTATTATTAATGCTAATCCTCATAAAATCTGAAAAAAGGAGGTTTTACAGTTTTAGCGATAGGCTGAAAGAAAGCACGTTGGACTGGGAGCTAAGCCTAAAGTGTGTTAAAAAAAATTACTGCAGCAAATCTTACGAAGTTTAAGACCATCAAGATTTGTTGCGATCCACATGATTTTTTAATCTTTTTTCTTCATCACGAGTACCCGCAAGTGCCCGTTAAGTGCCCGTCAAGTGCCAGACACATAGAGGTATAAGAATAGAGAGCAAAAGCGCTATACTAGTCCATTAGCGGCAGCCACAGCATAATAAAGTGTAATGGGGCATCTGCTCTTGTTGCCAAAGCCACGTTATTGGCTTCTTCTTCATCCTGAATCCTACAGTTTATTTAATCTCATGTAGGACTCGACCAATAACATAACTGCCAGACAAAGACAGATGCTTTGTTACGTAGCGAATTTTGCTGTCACATATGACATCCCCTTTTCTCCTCTATTCTTATAGTGCCCGGCAAGTACCCGCTAAGTGTCACCAAGTACCCGCCAAGTGTCTCCCAAGTACCCACCAAGTTCTTCCCAAGTACTCTTTATAAAAAAAAAAAGATTAAAAAAACACGTGGATCTTAACGAATGTTAATG